TTGACAAAATTTAAAATGTCATTTATCTTCTAATAACTTGATCAACCAATATCCTAAAATTAGCAATTTCTTTTATTTTTTTAGTTCTTCATTTGTCATTGTCATTTGTCAATTCATTCAAGCTGCATATTTCCAACCCGGGGAAACTGTGTGGTAGATGAAACCTTCAGAACATTCATAACTAATATTAAAGCCTTTATCATACTTTATACAAAAGTATTTTGGAATGCAATCTAAATATTTGTTGCACTTTGTAATTTCTTTATCTAAAATTTAGCCTCTGTAAGCTTTAGAAATTATTTAAAGAAGTTATATATTGTAGATAAATTTGGAGATGTGCAATGTTTGCATTCACTCCATGTTAGTTTCTGTAAGTCTAAATTTTTAGATGCTTCAATAAAAAACTCTGTTATATCTGAAATTTAGCGCAAGTCTGAATAATTTAGTTTCTTAAATCTGTTTGGCATTGTCTTATAACATCTTTACTTAGAACAAAAACCATGTGCTTTAAAAGTGAGTTAGAAGCTTTCAGCCGTAGAAAATATTGCATTTGGCTAATCCTAAAGATATATTAAACCTGTCAGCAAGATCAGTTGTCAATAATCCAACTCTTAGCATCATTAAATATTCATCTTTGCTGCATGACTTTTATTTTGGTCCGACTAGTTTAGGGTTTTTTTAAGTTTCAAGAAACAGCAATAAATGTTTTTTTAACATCAGTTTATCATCTTATAATTAATGGTGATACTGCACTATGTAACTCATGAAACACACTGACAGATGTAAGGCCAGTATAAAAGTTGCAAGATGTTTGTATGTTTGTATACAAGTAACACGATTTGTTTGGATTATGTTTATATACAAATTTGTCTGGTTTCATAATAATAACTAATGTGCTTGAAGTTAATTTTTCATATAAATCTTTATTTTTTTTTTCAATTTTGTGCTGAAGTTCTTTTTTTAAGTCATCAACTTTTTTTTTTAAATCTTGATGCTCTATTATAAAAAAAAGCTTAACATTAAATTCAGCAAAATATGACGGATTATTGTTTGAAAAAGTTGTATTGTTTACATTTATTAATATAATTTTTTGAGCATTGTAGCCTATGTTTAAAGAAGAATATCGATTTTGAAATGATAGAGCTCTGTCAGGAAAATTGTCTAAACATACTCTCATTATATATTTTATGGTAAATAATTTACTATGATGCGATAATGTAGGAGTTGAACGGTTAATAAGTTTTCTTCATTTTTCTCTGAGCTGTGGTTGTTTTTATATTATTATACATCTGTGTGTGTGTTGATAACGGATAACAAATGCTTACTCATATGGTAGATAGCAGTTTCACAGGTTAGAGCTTCGTTTAAAACTTTGTATCATACATAAATCATCTTTCTGCATTTCTAGATTGTACTCATTATTTTTACAATCAATGACAGCGCATATTTTCGATCTCTTGAAACTCTCCTATATGGTATCGGTTTAGTATTTACATTTTTTCCATTATAAACCTCTAATTATAAACCTTTTCACTGTTCCGATATAAAAAAAAAACGCGCGCGCATTAATTTTATAACGGAACTGTGAAAAGGTTTATTGGAACGAATCTCTCCTTTTTATATTCTCAGAGTTAACAAGCCTATGGCAAATAGATTATTTGATGGTTTATTTGAACAAAACTTTTATAAAGCATTCATAACAATTATTCAATCAGTGAAATTTTTAAACATAAATCATTTAACTAGTTCCAAAAGTATTAAGAAAGCACAAATGATTCAGCAATGCTGGTTAGACTTTTAAATTAGCATAGTTAATAAATACCCTTTGTAACTATGTTGTTAATGTAGAAGTTAAAAATTCTGTTTGCTTAAATAACAGTCAATAGGACTTAATAGGACTGAAATCCTATAAATAAAAGTTAATAGGACTGAAATCCATAAATGCAGCAGACCAAGCAACTTACCACCGATAGTAAAAGCAGTAATTATGAAAGTAATAAAAATATTTTGCTCACATTTAGAGAAGACCTAGTCGATAGGCTGTTAAATGTTCAGTATTCTAACAAGAGTAACTATATTGTAATCATTTTTGTGTAGATCTTCCATCACAAGTTATGACGTTATTGAAAATGCCTTAAAACTCAGATGTTACTATAAAGTTAGGTATGTAAATCTTTCAATATATTTCATTTGTTAGACTTATTTAAAAATTTAATTATTTGCATTGAATATTTTACTTTTGATGGTTCTTTGCAGTTACATTGTTTTTTATTTTTCTTTAACTGCATTTAGTTATTTTGACATCACTTATAACAGAATTATTAATTTTGTTACTTAACAGAATTTTTTTTTAATTTTTTTAATTTTTTAAACTCATGAAACTCGATGCTTTTGTTGATAAAAAAAAGAAATCAAGTTTTTAAATAGAGAGAGAGAATGAGAATTAATTACACCGCGTACATACTTGCAGTCTTCAACCCTCTCTCTCACTCTCTCTCTCTCTCTCTCTCTCTCTCTCTCTCTCTCTCTCTCTCTCTCTTGTACGCATTCATAAATTTTTGGGCAACCCCTCATACCTGCATACATACTTCATGGAAGAACCCTTGTGACAAATAACATTATTAATAATAATGATAAAGTCAAACAAGTAAAAGGTAAAATATTTTAATTTATGATGCAACAGCTAAAGCACTAATTTAATCGCTATAATAGTCATTATGGATCTGCTTGTATGGTGGAAAAAACCTATGATGGTTGAATGAATTTTTATGCCCACTGGTAATCACTGCTAAAACATTTGGAAGAAAAAATCATAAATATCATCTGAAGGATAGTGTCTTTGACTCACTTAAAGTAGATATGGTGCAGCAGTTCTCTCTTAATACAATTCAAGGTGGGGGGATCTTGCTTGTATTAAAAATATACATTTAATCTGGAAAAATGGCTGCTTTTTCTTTGATTGTCATCTGGGCAAATTAAATTTTACCTGTTTACTTATGTTCCTTTAATAGAATACCTTTATATAGAATTAAGAAATAAATATGAATAATAAATAATTAAAAATCATTATAATTTACAGTTAAATAATATCAATAATAATAAAAAAAATATTATTAATAATAAGACCAAGTATAAATAATGTTAATAACAATAAGACCAACTCAAAACGTAAAATAGCGGTCTACATTTAACACTTTATTCAAGTTTGAATCTAAACGCTTTTGCTATGTTAAATAAACCAATAACAAACGTAGAAAATACGTTTGAATCTTGAAGTTTAATGGAGTTTTGTTCTAAACATTATTCTGGATTTTATTCCAAACAGACAATCGACCAAAAATTAAATGTTTTGTCTAAACGTTGTTTCGACGTTTAATAAACGTTTTTGTGTTTATTGAGTGCACCTTAAAAAAAAAAATACAATTTGGTACCTTTTAACTGAAAATTGGGAACGTCTAAGGTGCAGAAACTTTCTGTTTATAAAATCTACTTAATATTCTTGCTTTACTATATTTTTAAATCTATGTTTTTTAGTAAAATTTAGTGATTAAAAGAAAATTTTTTTGGCTGTTACATCTTAAATCTCGAAACCGGTTTATAGTTTAAAATTTTAGAGTCAATTATCAAAATCATTAAAAATGTTGTAGACATTTTTTATTTTAAGCGGTAAAGTTTGCACTTATAAACTTATTATAAAAGTAAAACAACACAGTAAATTTATTAAAAACCCTTAAAAACTACAGCTTCTATGGTAAATTCTATTTTTATAGTTTGAGTTCTTTCTTCTTTTTTTTTTCTTTTCTTTTTTGTTTCTAATACGGCATATTAAGTTCTTTTCTATTTTAAATTTTTAAATCATTAAAAATGGCATAATAGTTTCACTCTATGGCAAATTATACTGGAGCAGCTAAAATAAATAACACAGATAGAATGCAATCTATTGTTAATTTAAATATTTTTATGAATGTTTCGACAGTTTTTACCATTGATATAAATGGCGGCGAGCAGAATAAATACACCATAAATATCTGAAATTGTAGTTAAAAAAAAAAGTGAATTCTTCAACCTAAAAGTCTAGAGGAAACTGGGTTGAGAAAAAAAAAGACGGCAAACAATGTAAGTGTAACACATTTTCAAATTCAGTTTCAGGTTGTAAATAACCTTCTGATTCAATAAATAAATTTAGGCAAGTCAAATATTCAAAGATATTCATACAAAACATATTTCTAATAAAAAACAAAAAGAATTATAATCACTTAATTTTATATTTTAGTTGAACGAGAAAAATAAAAGATTGTCCACAATTTTGTAATAAAAATGAAAAATAAAAAAACAGCTGATTAATACGAAAATATGTCATAATGATAAACGCCATCAAATGTGGTATAACTTGATTTTGTGTATTTTTTGTTCATTATCTCATTATTATTTCATTTATTATCCTTCTACCAGAAAATTAATAAAAATACACAAAACTCTTTGCACTCCGATGTTTTACGGTCTACCAAAAATTCATAAACCGAGTTTTCATATATATAGCCATTTTATTCTGTTGATATTGAGTGTATCGTCTAATTGGCTTAGATCATATTTGCAAGGTTATCAAAAATCGATATAAGCAGTCTTTAAAAATTTGTTGGATCTCAGATTATTAAAGTTATAATAACCTTTCATAAACTGTTTGTCAAAGATGGTATTTTGTTGCATTCGTGAAAATTTGGGGCAATTAATAGATATTTAAAAATACTTAAGCTATTTTCTATTAAAAAATAATCTCTGTAGATGAATTAAAGGATATTTCGGTTCAATGCTTCTGCTTTACTTTAATATACCAACAATTCTATCCTTATTGTATTCTACCATCTTAAAAATAAGTTGATTTAAAAATTTGAGTTTAAATTGCTAATTTATTATGGATCTTTTTTTAATTTCCGTCAACTTCTGAAAAATTTTTAATCAAAAAGTACTTTTTAAAGTTGTAAACAGAAATAAAAATAATATTTATGCGTGTTAATTTTATCATCGTCTATGCTTTGGAATTTGCATTTTTTACAACAATTTTCCGTCATACCTCTATAAATAAAATATTTTTTTAAGAAATATCTATTTTAAACATTTCTTCATTATTCTGTTTGAAAAAATCAAACCAAGCAACAACTTCATTTTGACCCAAATCTTGCTTGACTAAAGACATTTTGCGATACTCTTGTTCGTTTAGTTCCTTTTTTATATAAGCGGAAGAATTTATTTTACGGCAGATTTCTTCTCGATCCTGATTACTCAATCTTCTCCGTTTGTATTGTGGCATGTTAAGATGAATTATTTTTTTATCTTGATTTTTTTTATTCTCAAGTTCTTGCTTCAGTTTTAATTCTTGCGATAATGGAAAACTGTATTTGGAGCTCAAAGATTTCTTGACTACTTTATGTTCTTGCAAGCTGCGCGAGAAGTTACTTAGCGAACGTTTTCTTATAACAGCTCGTTCAACACAGCTCAACGTTCTTTGAGTAGATTTTTTAGACTTAAAGAATTTCAAATCTTTTATCGAAGAGGTTTTTTGAACAACCGTAGTGTCCAGCAATTTAGTGTTTGTTTTTTCTGAGTGTATTTCCAAACTTTTGATGGTTTCTTTATCATGCATTCCAATTTCATTGTTATTTTCAGCTGGAAATATTTCACCGTTAGTCCTATTAAAATTATCGATTTTCAATGTTTGTTTTGATGAACTGTAAGATTTAGTAGAGTCGTTGTGTACTGTACTGACGCTAGATTTACGAACCATTTCTAGGGATGGAACATATCTAAGAGCATATCGGCGGCTTTTACATAAACCAGAATCGCTATTACTGTTGGTTACTGAGTCAGTTGAAGTAACCTCCATTGATGAAACTGCTGCTTGAAAAGAAAATCACATTAAAAAATATATAGAAACAATCAAAAGTTTAGAAATATACTCAATGAAAACAAACTCTTAGCCTCTGGACACAAAGAAACATGGCTGGAGCAAGAAGACAAATTTAGTTTTACCCCAAAACCCCTTAGAATAAAAATTTCAATAAAAATACAAAAACAACGTAATTTCGTTAAATTATTAAACATATATTACGTTACAGTAAGACATATATTGTGTTACACTGTAATATATCCTAAAGTATATAAATAAATATAAAAACAAAAATTCAAGACTTAAACATCACTTTTCATAACTTGTTTCAATTTTTGAAAAACTTAATAGATAAATCAACAAACAAATTGAATAAAACAAAGTTAACTATTAGTGCAGCAGATAAAATAAAATTTACTATTAGTGCAGCAGATAAAACAAAGTTGCAGCAGATGAGAATGAAAAATGACTGAAACTGTGTACAACTGGATAAAAGTATGAAATATTTATTAATTACTCAGAAAACTATGCTGACTATTTAGAGATATGGTGTCGAAGTGTGGCATAACCAGAGCAAGCTAGAATTACAAAATGGTGGTTACCGCCAACTTGGATTTATCAAAGTCTTAATAAATATCAAGCTGTTTAACTAATCTTCACCTTAGCGAAGGTAATTTTTTCATTAAGCTGAGACTTTTGAATATATCTCACAGCGTTCAAAAATTATGACCATATAAAATTTGTCACCCTCTCAAATTGAGGTTTAAACATTATATGGTCATAATTTTTGACCGCTGAGAGATAATACTATAAAACTTAAAATTTATCAATGAATATAAGTCTAGTTAAGAATAGTAAAAAAAATATTTTATCAATTTTATTGCCCTCACACATGGGGTGTAGGGGAGAGGGGGATTAAATCTTAGGGCTTTTTTCTTCCCAACCTCCAATCAATGCAGTTTTTTTTGCAAAGAATCATCATTTGACATAAATATAAACATACAAATGTTTAGAGCTTGCTCCATTTCCTAAAGTCATCTCAAACACCAAAAAACGCTAGATCCATCACTGTTGATCCATCACAGCTAAAACATTATCAAATTCATTCAAATTTAAAGCATGAAAAATGTAGTTTATAGTTTAAAGATTTATATCAGCAGACTGTTAGAAAAATACATTGCAGGAAGTAGTGGGTTGAAGAGATTTCATGCACTAGTAGATTAAGACATTGCAATGTCTTGAGACATTGCAACTGACATATCAGTTTAGACATATCAGTTTATTGCAACTGACATATCAGTTTAGACAAAATTATAAAAAAAAATTCAAAAATTTCACTTCACAAAGTAAATAATTATTTAATTATTGAATTATTAAAATCAAGCATTTCGTCGGGGATAGTGCAACCATCCAAGCATATGATAAGTTATATATTTGTATGATTTTGAATAAATATTATTAATGTTGATTTTAAATAAAATTTTATTTAAACAGTTATATTAAACTCAAAATAAATAAAATTTATAATCGTAAATGGTTGTTAGAAATGAGTGCCGCGAGCGCTCCTGAACATAATATTTATTAAGTATACGCAATATATACTTTTTTGGCTTTCCTGGCTTCACTTCACATCTCAAGATAAATAAAATTTATGTATATAAATGACTGCTAAAATAGAGCGCTACGGGCACCTCTGAATTTTATAGTGCCCAAATAATAATAAATGCACGGAAAAATATTCTAAATACTTTAAAATACAATAGCTATTGGACTTTGAAATAGTAACATAACACACCACAATAGTTATTGTAATTATTTTTTATTGCAGCAATACAATACAAAAGTTATTGTAATTGTTTTACATCACAGCAATACAATACTAATAGTAATAATAACAATAGCAATAATAACAATAACAATAATAATAATAGTTTTAGAACTTCAATGTATTGTTAGAAAAAAAAGCAATACAATAGTTATTATAACTATTTTTAATCACAATAGTACAATAACAATAAATAACGTTTTAATTACGTCTCTGGTATTACAATACAAAATTATTGTATTGTAATGTGTTATTGTATTTAATTTTTACAATTACAATTACAATAGTCCGAACCCTTGATTAGACAATGGTGAACCATATTTAAAAAAAGATTTTCCTACTGGTTATTATACGCAAATACATATGGAGTTAAGTAATGCCCAGTATTGTGACTACGTTGTGTACATACATTTAAGGAAATTGCTTTCAAGAGAACACCTTTTGACAATCGGTTTTTTTTTAGTTAAAAAGTAAAATGATTTTTACATTAACTAACTTCTATCACAAATATTGTATAATAAAGTTAATAGTCAAGAAATAATATTATCCATGTATTGTTTTTTGATAAGCCAGCATATTTTTGGAACAATTTTTCGTTTGTTGACATATTTTTGTAACTATGAATATAATTTCTTTATGTTGGTTTAATTGATTTTATATATATATATATTTTTTTGAGATTCTTAAAAACGCATTTTAGATATCAACTCTTGTTCGTTTTTTCTAATAAACCAATTTTATTTTGTTGGTCAACACAACAACTATTTAAAGCTCTCAACCTCAAAGTCAATTAACTATTTTTTTTTATTAAATTCTTTTAACGTTTATTTTTTAACGTCTTTTTTTTTAATGTTTTTTTTTTTTTAACGTCTTTTTTTTTAACGTCTTTTTTTTTTGTCATTAATTTTAATGTCTACTTTTTTAACGTTTTTTTTACGTCTCTTTTAGAAACGTTTTTAAAATTTTCGAGAAACTTTCTTTTTCTAGGAGAAGGCTTTTTTTTTACATGAATTGCTTTTTAAATTAAAAAAATAGATAGGAGTCAGTGCCGAATCAAGTGGGACTATAGCCCCGGGCCCCGCAAATTTAAGGGCCCCACAACATTTTAGAGGACCTTTTTTTTTTTTTTCAAGTCATTTTTAGGTTCTGGCCCATAAAAAAGCCTCCAAAAGCAAAAATAGCCCCGGGCCCCAAGAAGTCTTAATCCGCCACTGATAAGAATGCTTCCTTTTTTAGAGTTTTTTTTCAAATGATGTAACGCCTGACTTGTTTCTTTGAGAATCGCAAAAAGTATTTTATTTTAGTAAGTATTAAAAAATTAGGTTTTTCATTTTTTTTTCAATTTAAAATAGGCAAAATCATACATCTTAAAAGAAATGCTAAAAATTACTAAATTATAATGTTTACGTTTTATCATAACCCGATGAAACTATTTCATTTTTAAACATTACGGGATGCGTTGAATATTTTAATTCTTGGCATTGAATGCATTAAAGATTTTGATTATTGGCTTAATTTGAAACTCTGCGAGGAAACACTTTTGAACTTCTTTGTTTGGTTTAGTTTGTTTATGGTTTATAGTAATTTATGGACGATCCCGTAGCTTATTATTCAAAAGCGTTAGATGGCATTGCATAATTAAGTCTTGCTCGAAAGTGGTCGAGTTCCTTGGTGACGTTGGTGGTTGATAAAAGTGACGTCACTCAAGTTGCATTTTATAATTGTCTAGCGAAACCAAAACAATATTGACTGCTTTCAGTGACTGCAACAATCTTTATATGATAAATGATCATAAAGTTCGAATTTTAATATTATGTGGATATGCAGCAAAACATGTAAATTCATTGTATGAACAAATTATAGTAAAAAAAATGTCATGCTGTTATAATAAATGCTACAATGTGTTGTTCCGTAACGTTTGCGATATCAGTAGTTCCTAATATTTATTAAAAATATGTTGACACTTTTTTTTATAAGAAACAAAACAAATGAGCTAATAATAGGAAGTTTGTAACTTTTTTTTTTTAAGTTTCTAAAGTTAATAAAAGTTCCTTAAGAGTTTTTTCTTAAACTTCAGATTATCAAAATGAATAAAAAAGTAACCGAATGGAATTTTATTCGATTGCAAGAAACTTATTTTATTAGGGTGTACCACCTTAATAAAATAAGTTTCTTGCAAAAAAAGTAACTCAGTAAAAGTTTCTTAAACTTTATGGCCTTTAGTGTAATTTTATTATAAACTAGTTTTTTATAATAAAAAAACGTGTTTACAGTTAAATGTTTAATTTTTAATGTGTTTATAATGTTAATTATTAAGATTTGTTGTTTGGAAGAAACTGTCGCTCAAATAAAATGACGTCACGCTAGGAGACGTGTGAGGGTGGGTTGGGGGTTCTAGAGAAATATGACCAGACGTGACAAGGGAGTTGTTAAAAAATAGCTATATTTGGCGTTACGTAATTATGCAATGACCCCTTAGGACTTTTATATCCAATGGAAAACGTACTAGCAGAATCGTATTTTTTAGGTTAAATATAATTGTTGACTGAAAAATGTGTAAGGTATAGATAATTAAAATATGATGGGTGCCATTTTTTATCTACTTTGAAAATAAGAATAAGAGTTGATAAAGGTTGAATTACGTTAAGAACATTAAATTTAGTAAATAAGAATTTAGAGTGTAAAAAGAAATCTACATTTCCAATTATTTTTAAAGCATGCATTTTGTTTACTTATTAGTTTATTTATTTTAGTTACGTTAGTGCTACACCAGTCAATGTTTTCACAATTTAGGTAACTATGAATAAAAGAAAAATTAATATATTTTAAACAGGTTTGGTCTCACAAATGCTTAGCTTTGTAAAGTAGGCCAATATTTTTTGAAATTTTACTTTGAAGTATATTTATGTGCTCGCCATATTTGTTTATATTAACATAAACATCCTTAATAACTATGAAATTGAAATGTTCATATGTAAATTTAACTCATGCCCAGTTTCTTTTGGTAATTTATATTCAAGTATAGAAGAAAAAATATAAAAAAAAACTACACATTTTTTAAACATTGCTGATCACCGTTGATACTTATATTTGGTCAATCCTGCGTATGTATCTCGTTATTTTATCTATTCTATTTTTATTTAACGTTCAACGGTTCTCAATGATAAGGCCAGGTAGTCTTCTACGAGTCTTTGCATCAAGGCCTTCGGAGGAAGGAACAGAGGGGAAACGTTTAACCGGGTGCCAAACTTGAAAGGACTCCGGATAAGCCGTTTTTTTTTTAAATATATTATGTAAATATATCACGAAAAAGAAAAACTACTTAGTACGATGCTGTTTTTGATGTTTTATAACTTATTTCAATGGCATTAGTAGCAATGTTAATAAAAAACTCTTCTTTTTTAAAAACTGTTTTTTTGTACCATAAGGGAATTTTAAAGACATTTATATTAATTTTGTATTTTTGATTTAAATATCTCTATAGTTTTTTTTTTTTATTCTTATTTTTTAAATAAAATTAAAAAAAAAAACTTAACCATTGGATCTTCTCCTCAAAATACGATCTGCGTCAATCAATTTTCTACATTCCTGTTTTGGCAATTTCATGCTTGATTTGGCGTAGGAATAATAAAAAGAATAGTTGTTCCCTATGACAGATATTGGTAGAGCAACCATAAGTATGCCAAATGCTGCGCATATTGCACCAATTAATTTCCCAACAACTGTTGTAGGGGATATATCACCGTAACCAACAGTACTAAGGGTTATTATTGCCCACCAAAATGAGCGAGGTATACTTTTGAAATTTGAGTTAACTGTATCCTAAATGTAGACATAAAACATGTAGACATAAAATTTTCTATTAAAAATGCTAAGGAAAAAATAAACACAAATAATTAAATTTAAAAAAAAATTTCACAAATATTTTAAATAGTTCGTAATAGACTATAAACTTTATTTGTAATTGATGTTTCCGTAAAATGACTTCATTTCACGGTTAGTACTGATCCTTATAATGCCTGCCTAGCTGTCTTAAGAACGCCACTTATACGGAAAGTTAGCGTACACATCAAGGTACCCTGTGATGCAAATTTTGAAATCATTTAGTTTTGTCCGCGGAAAATAATTTAATTTAAATGTTCAAGTTAAATCAAATTTTGACTTCATAGTGCGCCAATAAAAAAACTTGTAGAGTTTGAACTACTCAATTTAATTTGATAAAAATTGGTGCAAATGTAACAAATCACACCAAACTTTGGACAAAGTTTCAGCCTGATTGAATGACTGGTGTAGAACTTATAGCAGTTTTAGTTGAAGTTTTGCCAGTTTTTTGCTACTTATACCTCAAAGCGTTACCGATTACTTTGAAATTCGGTTACTATTTTTAAAATAGTGACCGAATTTTAAAGTAATCGGTAACGCTTTGAGGTATAAGTAGCAAAATACTGACAAAACTTCAACTAAAACTGCTATAAACTCTACACCAGTCATTCAATCAGGCTGAAATTTTGTCTAAAGTTTGGTGTGATTGGTTACATTTGCACCAATTTTAGTCAAATTATATTGAGTGGTTCAAATTCTACAAGTGTTTTTATTGGCGCACTATGAAGTCAAAATTTGATTTAATTTGAACATTCAAATTAAATTATTTTCCGCGGACAAAACTAAATGATTTCAAAATTTGCATCACAGGGTACCTTGAAGTGTACGCTAACTTTCCGTATAAGGGGTGTTCTTGGGACAGCTAGGTAGGCATTATAGGGATCCGTTCTAACCGTGATTTCTATGTCGTGAATATCATATGAAAAAAAATATTAAATAAATATTGATATAAATAGATTACTAAATAGATGACTAAGCGCCAACCCAGCCAGACAAAAAATATTTTGACATGAAATAATTATATGCAAAGTTTGAAAGTTTTCAACAAAGGACATTTCAAAAATTCATTTTCAAAAAGTTTAATAGAGGCGTGAACTCTCTATTAAACGCGATATAGAACGTTTTATGTATTTTTTGGACCAAAAAAAACTTTTTGGGCATTGCTTTCTATTTACTTTACTTAAAAGTAAGTTTTTCTTATATAAAAAAAAGGTTTTCCCAACTCGTTAATATTGAAACAAACCTAACTCGTCAGTGTGCCATCATGGGAAGAAGTCACCATTTTTATTAAAACAAGCTGTCTGCCTTGTTCAAAAGATAAAAATAAAGTAAATATTCCACTAAATGCAAAAAACCTGGATATAAAATGCATGAAAACTCCCTTTCTGCACAGTTAATAAAAAATTACAAATATGAAGGGAATAAAACTACAACAGCACATCCCAAAATTGATTTTTGTTGATTATAAAATCAATATTTGTGCGCAAGGGATGTATTTTCACTAAAACTAATGTAAAGTCAATATAATCATGTAGATCTAATCACTTTTTCACCAAAACCAACTTTTATGGAAATATGACCGGTATGCCATCAAAGGCGCTATGCCATTATAGGCATCTTCCCCCTAAATCATTTTTTTATGACAAATTATTTTTTTCCTTCAATTTGTTTAGTTTTTTTTAAGATATAAAAATTATTTTTACCGTATCGTACTTTCGATTGATGAATATTTTAACTGCGGTGGTTAATAGCATTAAAATTTTATGTTGAACACCGTAAACTAGTCATTAGATAATCGTTATCGAATATCGTTTATCGCCTCCTATCAATATACCTTATGTCTCAAATTTTTTTAAATTAATAAATTGCCTGCGCAAAGTTCTACCTATTTTTTTAGTCGATGTAGCTACACTCCTTGCATGTTCTACCTATTTGTTAGTATATAAATATATATATATATATATATATATATATATATATATATATATATATATATATATATATATATATATATATATATATATATATATATATATATATATATATATATATATATATATATATACAGGGGCTATTCTAGACCGTTTTCGACAGCGCCGACCGTATTTGGGCGCCGATTTGGGCGCCGCCCAAATTCAGGTAATTGAATTATTTAGCTTATATTTATTTGTTTTAATTTTTGGCAAAAATATGGCAATAATTATTTTAAAGATTTTTTTTTATTAACTACATCAACAGCAGTTTCATACAATAATTATTTTATACATGGAAGTTATACATATAAGTTATGGACTCAATGAGATTAGTAAGTTTGTTGCAGTAAATATGTGGGTTTTTTTCCCCATAAACATTTGCAATCTAGTAAATTTAAGGTAATTTGGCTATTTGTTAATTTATTTTTATTTTAGTGAAACTTCTGTGCAATATTTATTTTTAGGTAGCAACTTCCTTATAAAATTTATGTAACAGATCATTTTAACAGGAATGAATTATAGTGAATTATTGCAAATACATTTAAACATAATAATAAAGCTAAAAACTAACTAAATTTTTGTTTATTTAAAAACAAAAATTTTGAAATTTTCTAAACATGTTTCGGCCCCCCCCCCCATTACTTAAATTTTAAGAGGGGGGAGTGAGGCAGAGGGGTACCGCCGCCCAAATTATTTTCCTAGAATAGCCCCTGATATATATATATATATATATATATACATATATATATATATATATATATATATATATATATATATATATATATATATATATATATATATATATATATATACATATATATATATATATATATATATATATATATATATATATATATATATATATATATATATATATATATATATATATATATATATATATATATATATATATATATATATATATATATATATATATATATATATATATATATATATATATATTGTAGTCTATTACAAAATAGTAATAATAAAAAAAAGAAGCTTCAAACTACTTTTTCAGCGTAGTATGCCAGCGTTGCAAACACCACCATTGGAATAAACAAAACTAGCACTAACAGCATAAGCTGCTCCATGCTTGCTTTTAAAGTTTCAGCAAAAACCAACATACTTCTTAAGTTTCTAAAGAAGCGGAGAAGTCGAAATATACGTAATAAACGTAACGATTTTAAAAAACCTATACCACTACTCTCCATCCAAAAATCAAAATATAGAGGTAGCAGAGAAAAAATATCTATCCAAGTTAAAAAATCTTTGAGATGTTCGATAATTGAAGGGCAGCATAAAAAACGCAAAACAATGTCAAATGTGAAGATTACGCAATAACCCTTTTCAAAGTTGTTAAACATTGTTTTACTTTTGTTAAATGTTTCGTCGGTTTCTAAGCAAAATGTTGCAATGGATAACAACACAATAAATATGTGGATTGAAGCTATTGCCTAAATAAAGAGAAAAACGTCACTAAAATAATACAACAGAAAAAAGTATTTTTATACTGGATACTGATAATAAAATACTTTTATTACTTATATCGAAAGCGGACTTGCATTAAAATAATTAAATTGATTAAAATCCTTAAAAGTTGAGTTTATTATTACTATTTTTATTACTATTATATCATAATTATTGTTATCATACAAAAAATCAATACAATAAATTTATTCCTAATTTGATAAAAAAAAAAGCTTAACCGGGACCCTCTACGATGACAAAGATGAAGACACAGACGCTGCAGACGAATCAGCAATTGTGTCTGAAAAAATTATTTTTATGCTGTTTTTGAAAACATCGACATAAATAGAGCCTTCACAGCTGCTTGCGAAAGCGCACTCAATTGGACGAAAACACTAAATGAAAAAAAGTTTTTTCACTCTTCACAATACTTTATTTGTTGACGTTCTAATTTTTGGTTATGTCCTCTTTGAGTTTTTTATTTAAATGTTTTGCGTGACAAAAAAGTTTGAGTTCATGCATAATTTAAATTTGGACAATAAGGTCTTCTCTTTTGTAGCGTTCTCTAAGTGTTGTTAGGCATTGGGGAGACCGGGGTTAGTCGGAACACGGGGTTATTTGAAACATTGAATATTTGGGCTGACTGACGAGCAGTTCATTACTACAAACAAGAAATAAAGGTTTCAAGAATTAAAATACTATATTGTTGTTGGATAAAATAAATTGCGAAAATTAAGTGTTTGCCCAAGGTTTTAGAGAATTGTACGCATGAATGTAACTTTTTGTTATTTTTGTATTATTAATTATATTCTTGTATTATAAAAGATAATAAAATAGTTTGATAACATCTAAGTAGCTTCTAATAGGCTTTTGTGCATGGGAGACCTTAATTAAATCGTTGGTTAAATGGGGTTTTAAGCGTTGGTTAAGCGCTGGTTAAATGGGAGTTTGTTGGAACGTTTTTGTTTTAAGGCTTTAATCAAATTCCTTCTATTATCGCTCATAATTTTTTTTTGTTATTTTATAATTATCTATACTGGCATACTAAATTAGAGTTTAAATCAAGGATCTTATTATTTAGCATGTTTTTTCATTTATTTAAATCTTGCTACCGCACGTCGTTGACAGTGGCTTGTTCTTTATTATTTTGAACGCCAAATGCCGAAGAGTTGCAGCAAACTATGGCATTTCTTATGTAACACTCAGAAGATACTGCATCAAAGTCAAAGCAATGCCAAGCACCAGTTTAACTGCGGAGTACTATAACAACAGAAATATTTTTACTATGGAAGAAGAGAATATACTTACGAGGTACATATTAGAGACTTCATGTGTATAGTATGACCTCACTCAATTACGCGAAAAAAACTAAATGCAAAATTCTTCTTCCATGGGAAAAGAAAGAGCGTGCTGGTGCTGAATGATTTTTTTCGTTTCTAAAAAAAAACGAGAGTTTTCAATAAGAACGCCCGAAGCTACATCGCTGAGTCGTGCCACCAGCTTTAACAGATATAATGTAAATTTATTTTTCGACGATCTGAATTCGGTACTAACAAAACACAGCTTTACCGCAAGAAATAATTGAAATGAGGATGAGACAAGTTGTACAACTGTACAAAAGCCACAAAAGATTGTTGCCGGAAAGAGAGTGAAGTAAATTACTTAAAATTAATTAAAGTTAGTTATTTTGATTGGTTATTTACAGAGTTATTTTCTAATAAACATATTGGTTCATTATGTAAATTTTTGTCCGTTATTACTTCTCTGTGAAGACTTCTATTTTTTAATATTTGTTTCAGAGTTTTGTAATTGTAAAATAATCTTTTGAAAATGTAAATAAAATTTTACGCAATTATTATTATTATTATTATTATTATTATTATATATATATATATATATATATATATATATATATATATATATATATATATATATATATATATATATATATATATATATATATATATATATATATATATATATATAATTTATTCTAGTTACCAAAAAGTAATAGAAACAGATAATGTAAAAACTTATCCGTGTTTATACCTTTGTCAAAAAGTTTTTTTGTGGAACTTCTAAAAACTTCCAAATTGTATTGAATATGCTTTTTAAAAAACCTTGGTGACAAAAATTTCCTCCTTTATTGCTAAACTTCACTTTTTCGGTTATATTCTTGTTACCTTCGTTAATAAATTTCAAGTTTTCGCTCACGTCACGGTATTGACTGTATGTTGCCCAGCAACATGGTTGCATATTTAACTCATCAATTCCCCAAAAAGCAAGTTCCTAGAAAAAAAATATTTTACGCATATAAAATGATAACAACAAAAAATGATAACAATTATACAAAATAGTAATACAAAACGAATTAGCAATTAGCTTTAAATGTTTTTATTTTATACCGATATCTCTTGTAATAACTGAAAACGCGATTGCAATAAAGTATATTTTAAAATCTTCATAAGATTTTTTATTTAGATATTTGTATGCTGATTTTTTTTTAATCATCTTATTTCCCGTGTTGTCTTGATGTTATCCGAAAATTTTTTCCGGTGCTGTCCTAATTTTATCCGACATTTTTTTTAAAAGTTTTAGTTTAACTTCATTGTTTCGGAAAAAAATGAATAAATAAATTCTCAACAACTCTTATTAGATGAAACATTTTCTTATATACTATTTGAAATTGTAATTAACGAAGATTTGTATTTAGTGGGCTTCATGAGACCTTTTTGAGAGTTGTCCATTTTGAATTATTCGTGAATTTTTGATTTTCAAATTTTAGTTTGTTTACAATAAGCTCTGCGTGACTTTAAAAATTTTGCTTGATGTTTTCTAAATGTTACTGGAAATTAGATTTATCTTCATCACTTCTATTATGTTTCTTTTTTATATCCAAATGATATCAAATGTGTAACAAGCACTCAAAAAAATGAAGACCTGCATGCAATTTAGTCAAGTCAAAAAGCATAATATTTTTTTTAAACAGATTTTTATTTCAAAATTTTTTGTTTCGAGAGTCGTACCACATATGTAACATTTTTTGAAGAACGTGTGTCAGTCCAACGGTTCCACAAATTTTCGTCAACTATTGAGAGCTAAGGTTGTGTATAACAGTATTTTGTGATTTCCTCAGTCTCTTAAGTCTTTAGATATGTAAAAATATGCATTAAAGTTATGATTTGATAAATAATTTGATAAAGTTTCCCCAGTGGACAGAGACGTAAAAAAGACATCTTTTAAACATCTTATACACGTTTTGGACGTCTTTTGAACATTAGCATCAAGTTTATAAACTTCTGTAATAATGTCTTTATCTAATAGAAGACTGAAGTTTCTTGTTCTTTTTTTCCAACGCACCAATCTGCTTATCAATACAAGTGAGCAATATTTTGCTTTAGGAGATCGGGTAACTCCTTGATCTATAGGTTGTATGAGGTTGTATTTGGTAGAAAAAGCCAAATTCAACGGCATTAAAAATATATCAAGTGGGCATCGAAAGAGAATTGTAGGCAATGTGGTTTCGAGCCATGGAGAGATTATTTGCTTATTAAACAACTTTGCTTCTCCAGAAATGGTTATAAAAAATATACCATATCTTCAAAAAAAAAAAGTTTATAATTGCTTAGACGTAAGTTGTACGTGTGGTTGAATATAACTTGGCGTCTTCACAAGTTTCCAGAATGTCCAATTGTGGAAAATATTTATTTTATTTTCTTAAAAAAGTTAAAGAATAAAGCTGCAAAATAATCATATATTGTAAACTCATTATCCATAAAAATTTGATAAAATAAAAAATTTAGTTACATTATTTTAAATTTGTCTAGCCATCCATCCGAACCTTGAAAATTTTTGAAGATTAACTTTTTCGCAAAATGAAAAACTTTTTCTTTTACCAGCAAACCAGTAATTTAGAAATTATCAGCTCTCATTTGTTTGAACCGTTTAAGTACAGTTTTGTTGACTTTACTTTACGTATTATTGCGTATAAACTATAATACGTATCAACTTTCACCCATTTTGCCAAGTTTCCTTGACAAAGCGTCAATGATTTTATATTTATTCTTTTTCAAGGTTGAAAGAGTTTTTGGTGAAATGTCAAAGATTTTCGAAACTATTTTGTTTGTTTTTCCTTTCTCCAATTCCAGTAGGGTTTTGTATTTCCGATTTAAATGGCTATTTTTTATGCAGTCTCTTTGATGCCATGTTTTTTTTAAAACAGAAGAAAGTAAATTTCACAAACCGTTTTTTAAAAACTCAAAACATTTGATGTGAAACGAGTTTTTTCGCAGTTTAGCAACAATAATTAGTTTAAACATTTGAAGTTGACAATAATTAGTTTAAACATTTGAATTTAACAAGCTTTTTAAAGTTTGATTTGCAGAAAGAATCCTACGGACGCGTTAGTAGTGTTCAATTCAAATCGCTTTTTCAGCCCGTCATGACGGGTCTGCAAAATCCATTCGAATAAAAGAGATTGTATTGTAATATATATTTTATTTTAGATAATATTTTTATTTAACTTTTTTTAGTTAGCATTTGATGAACAAAACAATTGTAGTTTAAACATTTCAATGTTAAACAAAAAATAAAACTGAAATTTATTTTGTAATAATAAACTATAAAAAAAAAATTTATTTTGAAATAATAAACTATAAAACTGAAATTTATTTTGTAATAATACTATAAAACTGAAATTTATTTTGTAATAATAAATTATAAAACTGCAATTTATTTTGTAATAATAAACTAATAAACATGTTAAAGAGTCTGTTGAATGTGAGATGAGGATAGTGTTGCTCGAAGTCCGGCTTTTACAAGGGAGAATACAGTGCTAAACCTGTAAAAATAAGCTGTGTTCTTCTTCGTAAAAGCCGGACATCTGGCAACCCTGATGTGAAGCATATTTAACAATTATTGAAACGTATGGTTTTCTTTTTTTTTTTTTTTTTTTGTAACTATAAATTATACAAAGATCGTAGCGTTTCTAATGTTTAAAAATTGTCACATATTAGTTAGAATTTTTAAACCTTTTATTAATAATAATGTTTATTTCCAATTAGCTTTAAAAAGGCGCAGGATTAACGGTAATACGTAATAAAAAAAGTTCGGAATTTTTGCAATTCCATTTTAGATACGATTTTTTTTGTGAACAAAAAAATTCTAATTACAAGGCAACATCGTTTTATTTAGCCCATGTTGTGAACACCAGAATCTGTACAACATTGTACAGATTCTGGTGTTCACAATATGGGCTAAATAAAAACGATGTTGTCTTGTAATTAGATTAAACGTAATTAGATTAAATTGTAATTAGATTAAACTTCCTTGTTTTTAAATAAAAACGATGTTGCCTTGTAAAACAAGTTGGTACACACTAAATACTGGAGACAAGTCTTGTCCCCATTACCATACACACTTGTTAAACTTAGTGTATAGATATCTATACACTAAGTTTAACAAGTGTGTATGGTAATGGGGACAAGACTTGTCCCCAGTATTTAGTGTGTACCAACTTGTCCCCAGTATTTAGTGGGGACCAACTTGAATTTCTTTAAAACTGTTAAGTACTACTTTACTTTTAATAGCAAAAACTTTAAACTAAACTATCTAAATAAGTTTTACAGTCTAAAAATAAAAAGCTTCAAGTTTTTTAAGAAAAAAAAATAAGTGATACCTGCTTGATTTTTTTTTCTTTAACTGTCTACGCATGTGCAAGTATGTCGACGCATATGCAAGACAGCTATTTTTAAGTAGTTACCTATATTTATTATTAATCATTTACTTGTACTAACATTGTTAAATCATAGCTAGTTACAACTAAAATAATTATATCCTATTTTGTATAATCCGTAGTTATATATGTTCTGCTGTGTTCTGTTGAGGAATAATACAGGTTTTTATCTATGTCATTTTAAAAATGACAATGTTTTCATTGACATTTGTAAAATGACATAGATACAAACCACTTGGCTCTGCAAAAAACGAATATTAGTCTTTTGTACAAGTCTGTGGTGGCTTTTTCATTTTTTCTCATCAAAAAAAAAAATTGTTGAAATTAAATGTCTTAAGCACCCATTTGCATACTTATTTTGTATTTTTCTCTTTTAGATTTTATGAAGTAAAGTTTTATTTTGGGAAATTTGTGTTCTTCTTGCAATAACAATAAATATGAGCTTCAAAAATAAAAGAGTTACACTTGATTTCTCACTTAAAACTAGTTGCTAACAATATCTGTAGCTTTTCCATACTTTATATGTTTTATTATCATTAACTTTGAATTTTATTATTATAAAATTCGTCTTCCGTCTAAGTGTTTTCACTTAAGGAAAACTTTTTTTAAAAAATTTTTAAGTTTTGCTTTTGCATAAGATTTTTCATTTATTCTTAGAAACAGCCCATGTATGAGAACATTTCCTAATAAGGGTAACTTAGCGCCTAAAAACTCGCTTGCAAAATCAATTATAACACTAAATTTGCAATTTTGACTACTTTTACATGTTTTTTATTACTACCATATTACGATACGATTGCAATTTTAAAATTTTATGAGAATAAAAGTCATTAAAATTTTTTAAAATTATAAGTTTCTGATTTAAAATGAAATTCTAAGCGTCTAATAAGTAGTATTTGAAATTGAAAAAATGATTAAAGATATTTCAAACCAATTTGATTAACCGCCAAAAATTGCGGCAAAACGCGTGTTCCTTGTATTTACCCAAAACATCGGTTTAAGTCAAAAACTAAAAACCTAATAAAACTTTTTTTTTAATTTTTTGCATTATTTATATTTAAACTTAAAATTTGCATGGTTCAAGCATTTACAATAAAAAATAAATCACATTAAGGTACAGTTCGTTACACATAAAAATATATATATATACAATATAATGCGCATAAAGAAGTTATATATACAATATATAACTTCTTTTGTTTACCTGCTTGTTTGTTTGTTTATTTGTTTGCTTATTTTTTTGCTTGTTTATTTTTTTCTGTTTATTTGTTTGTTTGTTGTTTGTTTGTGTGTGTGTGTGTGTGTGTGTGTGTGTGTGTGTGTGTGTGTATGTATGTGTGTGTGTGTGTGTGTGTGTGTGTGTGAGTGTGTGTGTGTGTGTGTGTGTGTGTGTGTGAATGTGTGTATAAAAAAATCCATTGGCGGAATAAGACTACCGGAATACCGGTGGGCTACTTTTATTTTTGGAGGCCTTTTTATGGGCCAAAACCTAAAAATAACTAAAAAGAAAAAGAAAATATATATACATAAGATTTTACACTACCTCCAGCCTAACCACTACAAAATAAAAGTGAAAGCTAAATCGCTTCAAAATATAAAAAATGAAATATAAAAATAAAACCTCTTCAAACAGCGGACCACATACATCATTTGGGCAATGTAGTTTGCCTGTACGACAGTAGTTTAAAATATTTTCAAAGCAACCAGCATGTCTATCAAAAAAAAATTCATTGGGTTGCATGTTATAATCACTCATTGCTGTTGCTGTCTCGGCTATCCAAAACAATCTCGTATCCGGAAAATTTTGAATGGTGCTAATGTAGCATTCATGTCTTTGTCCTCCGACATTTATAATAACTCGATCTTTATTTAGAGATTTATTTTTTTCATATCCTTTTCTCCCATCACGTGACGACATTTTTGTGAATAAGTCCAACTTCCAGATTCGAACGAGTAGTCACTTTGCAGGTTTTTTTGTCAGTAGATAATTAAAAAGCCACTGGTCAACATTTTTAACACCACTTTGAAGATTCAGTTATAAATTTACACACCCTTCAAGTTTTTCATTAAGAAACTATAAAAAAGTATTAAACAGTAAGATTTACTTTTTTAATAAATTAAGTTTATTTTACTCGTTTTTCCAGTTAATAAGCAATAATTGTTTGCGTTAAGTTAAATCATTTTTTTTTTCTTTATTTTAAATCATTTTTATGCTTTATCAAGATTACTTAACATACTGTTAATCGATAAAATCTTTAGTAACATTGATACTAAGGTCACTTAATATATCATTAACAAATAATATCTTGCTAATTTAACAAATAATATCTAACTATTATTTATACAATAAGTAAATCTATTAGTTATTACAAATTTCAATATAAACGTGGTGCAATATTATTACGTGTTACAATATAAACCTATGTTTTAAAGAAAAAGCAAATGCTTAAGCATTAGTTTATAACAATTTCCCATTAGAACAAGACTTGAAAAGACGTCTTTTAAAGGTTTTTTGAATGTTTTGAACGTCTTTTGAACGTTTTGGACAATTTTCGAACGTTCATAAGACGTCTTTTTAAGGTTCCATGTCCACCGGGTTAAGAAGTAAAACATATTATAAATTAAATTTTTTCTTTTAGAAGTTATAGCAAATCAAAAAAAGATGTAATAGCTTTTTCAAATAGCAGTGCAACATTTAATAAAAAAAGTTTTTAGTTAGAAAATTACTGTTTTCTTTTTCACCGTTGTTGCTTTTTTGGCCGGAATGAACTAGGACCAGTTGATTCTGATGTCTAGCAACAACACCCCGGAGTCATTGACAATGTTAAACGTTTAATAATTTTTTATTTAAGTGTGGTTAATTGTAAAATGTATTTATGTTTTTTTTTATAATTTAGCAAAAAATGACAAAAATATTAATAACCAATTTTCTTTGTATTTTTGATTGTAACTCATAGAAGTTCTATTAAATATGATCATTTAAGCCGTACTTTTTTTGAACTTCTTCCTTACGTTGCTAATTAAATAACAAATTCGAAACTTTATTATTTAATTAGCAATTTATTTACTTATATATATATATATATATATATATATATATATATATATATATATATATATATATATATATATATATATATATATATATATATATATATATATCGGTGACGTGGCTAGTTAGTCAGAGGCTGCCCCGCCTCCCTCCCCCTCAAAAAAAAAACACTGCTAATAGGGTCCACAATTTTTTTAAAATTTTCCCCAAAGCATTATTAAAAACAAAAAAAAAGCTTCTTAAGTTTACAAAAGGGTTGGGGTACCCTAGCCCTGATATACATTTACTGCTCTGATATATATTTATATACAGGGCCGTTTTACTTTTATATACATACATTTATATTATACATTTATATAGATGCATTTATATACATACATTTATAGATTTATATAAATACAACATACATTTATATACATACCTACTGCTCTGATATACATTTATGTACAGGGCCGCCAAAAATGGGGGGGGGGGCGAATAAAACAATTTGTTCGTGACGGCTCTCGTCGGCCCTGTCTATATATATATATATATATATATATATATATATATATATATATATATATATATATATACATATATATATATATATATATATATATGTATATATATATATATATATATATACATATATATATATATATATATATATATATATTAAAAAAATTTTTATAGAAACACATAAAACAAAAAAAAAATGTATACTTTGTGATAAATGTAGTACGTAAAGTTAAATATGTATATATATATATATATATAAAAAACCATATATGTCTCACAAATCAACTTTGTTTACTCTTTTAAAGCAATTTTTAGGTGATGCTAAATAAAATACTATCAGCAACTTAGATTTGTAATTGATGGGTTTTTATAATATAAAAAATACTTTTTATGTTAAAAACTTGAGATAACATCAGCTATATCAAATAAAAGTTAAAAACAAACATAACAGTAGAAAAATACAAATAAAAAAATTTATTAATAATAAATACTTATAAAGATGTATTTTCTTTTTATATACTATTTTATTGACGAAATCCGTCCTTTTTAAATATTTTTTATTACATTGTATGTCTTGTTAGATGAAAAGGATGCGAAGCAAATCTTTATTGCGCAAATCAAAACATTACTTCATTATTTATGATACGCAACCCAACATGCATTATCTTTATTTTTATGTTTGTGTATTCTCAGGTTGGATTTTAGTTATGCTATGTGATTTTATACTTTGTGGATTTAATTGTGCTAACGTAAGCATCTTAATTTTTAAATTATTCTAACAAAAGTTAAAGAGATTTAAGAGAGTTCTAGCAAAAGCGTTAACGATTTTTTTTAAAGGAAATGCTTTTTGCATCAAAACATGATAAAATATTTTTTTTAAAAAAGCAAAAGCCACGTTAACGATAGCAAGTTTTGATTTATCTAAAACCAAAATCTTTGTTAACTCAATACAAAAACATTGTATTCACGTTTAAAAATAAGCACATAAAAACTAAGAACACATAAGTCGTTAAAAAAATACAAGGTAAAGTATTTTTTTTTTGTGTCATTTATATTACGCCATTTGCAATAGGTTTAATATAAAAATTATATATATATATATCTTATAGATTTAATTCCATATTTTAGCAGAGAGTTTTTTACTATATTTTTAATAATTTAGTCTTTTTCACATCAAATTTGAAATTATCTGGGTTAACTTTTATTAACTCTGGTAAAGGAGCAACTACTTTTTGCAATTACTATTTTTAGCAAATGACGTTCATTGTTTACTTGACTGAAAGACTAAAAATTAAATTTTTAAACTATAAATAATATATTTGTATATGAAAATAATATTGTTTATAATGGTTGATATTTTTTATACATAATTAAAATTATTACCTATTCTTTAATGGTTCAATTAATAATTAATTTCTTGTTTTTGTGCCTAAAGTTAAAATAATAAATTTTTATCTTAGTTTAAGTAAATTCTAACTTGTTTGGTTCAAGTAGCTTGTAGTATTTATGCTACAAAGTTTGCTTTGAGCAATCCATTTATGTTTTATCATGTGCTTTATGCAGGAAACCTCTCTCTCTCTCTCTCTCTCTCTCTCTCTCTCTCTATATATATATATATATATATATATATATATATATATATATATATATATATATATATATATATATATATATATATATATATACACACACATATATAGGAAATTCAAAATGGTTGGGTGGGGGAGGCTGAAACGTAAATTCAGGAGGGTTGAGGCATCCAGAATCAAAATTTAAATGGAAAAAATAGAAAGTTTCTAAAGATTTGAGGAGTATCACCCTCTCCGCAACCCTCAGCCTCTTCCTACGTCATTGTGTATATATATAAAGTTGAAATATGGTTTTAACTGATATAATTTGAAAAATTTGTCAAACCAATAAAGAAGCAAAAACAAAACTCTTATAAATTTTATTGTCTCACAATTGTTTTATTCAAAATATAATTTCAAAAAAATCCACTATTAAAACAATTTATATTTTAAATTTATTAGCATATTATTAATATTATTGAATATTTTCATTTGTGCGTTCTTTAATTTTTAAACTTTCTTAAATTAAATAGCTTACTTTTAATGATTTTGCAATGATGATTTCCAAATCAAATCGAGCAAACAATTATTACGAAACTGCACGACGACGAAGAACAAATAACGATCACTAACGCGTTACGAAAATAACGATGCAAAAAATTAATTTTTTTATTAACAAAAAGTATTGTAGTACTACTAGAAAATTTTGAATAGTTGAAAAAATTTGTTGAAAAAAAACTATTTGCTGAAAAAAAATTCAAAAATGATTTTTATGATAAAGTTATATACAAGAAAATTATAGTCAATGAACTCCAACAAAAAAACTGTAAAAGCATGCAAAATTTCATGCCTCAAAATAAATAATTTATTAGTATATTTATAGTTTAATTCTTTTATATTTATTTATTCAATAATAAATTTGAACAAAGCTTTTGAGCAGGTTCAAAAATTTTAAAGTTCGATCCTTCTAAAAACATTTTAACAAATAACACAAATATTTTTCAAGAAATTTAAAAGAATTTAACAAATAGGCGGGGCAACATGGCGAATGGGGCAAAATGGGTTTTTGTATAACAACTCAACAAAAAATCTTAAAATTGGGTGAAAACGAAACTGTATATGCATCTTGTATTTTAAAACACCTATTGGTTTTTTTTAAATATTATTAACGCAACTTTATACGCATAAGTTTACTTTTTGCGTTTACAAAAAAAATTCCTCAGTTTCGGTTTCTCATAATGGATGGTGCCTTTCAAGTTTAACTTCTTTAGAAGTACTCTTTTGTGATTTGTGTTTATTTTGTGTTATTTTATTTATAGTTAATGGTAGTTTTTAAAATTTTAAAAAAAAGGAGGCAAAAATTCCATAATAAGTCATCTTGCCCCGGTCACATGACCAGATGACAAATTTATGATCATTTTATTTTAATATTTATTTCAAATTGTTATATTTGCAAACTAAAAATTCATGCAGGCAATGAATCATTTTAATAACATAAATATACTGAGAAAATATAATTGCTTCACGACTGATAGTTTTGTAATAACTCAGGGCTTTCAAAACGTTCGCCATGTTGTCCCGCTTTGCCCTATGTCGTATTTTGATCCTTATGAATTTAAGGGAACAAAAGATATTAATTATTTTCCAATATTACATGTAAACAGGACCGGCTATGGTCAAAAATAATAATTTTGCCGAATAAGATCTTAAAAAAAAAAATTTCATCGTTGGCTTTTATTTGCCGACTGCCAACAACAGATCCAGTTTGCTGACTAACTTTTGAATATAATTTTAGTTGTAGGGCTATAGACCCTTCAACAAAAATTATATTCAAAATGTAAATTTTATATAGATAACTTAAAATTTTATTAAGTTTAAAAAATTTAAAATATTATAAAGTTGGATTATAACACACTTGATTATAGCAATAATTACTAAATGCTTAATTT